CATTCCCCCCTTCTTCCCCCGTTTTAAAAATATTACTTTTCCACCCCTTTTTTCCTCCGTTTTTTCTCTCCCCGAGGCCCTTCCCATCCCCTTTTCCCAGCTCTCTCTGTCCCGTTCCCAGCCCTCCCGCCCACGTGCCCGGGAAGTGGGAGGGGGTCACGGTGGGGGCAGGGGGGACAGATTCACTGATTTTTCCAGACGCGAATGGAGGGAAAGTTTTRGTTTTTTTTAATAGAGGAAACACTATTGCACTAAAATCTGTCTTTATGGAGATCCTTTCATCCCCTTGTTTTACTTCATTTTTTTCTCTAAAAGCCATTTTTAATGCATGCGGTAAAACTAGGAGTGGTGCAGGGAAGTTTAGCTCCCCACTGGGGCATTTTTTTAGTTGCATTTTATTTGTTCTGCTTAGTCCAGATGTGTTATTGCAACTGCTTTGAGGCCCTTGGAGGGGACGGGTTTGCAGTGCCAGCGTGTTGTCCTTGAGGGAATCCCACATTATTTTAATGGGTGCCCCATTCGCCTCCCTTCGGGGCTGACACTGTCACTCGCCCAACATTATGGCTACAAGCAAAACTTCATCTTCTTTTTTGAGCGCTTGTTTCCTTTCCTTATACGTTCGTGTCCCCTCGTGTGAACCCCCCGGCAGTGTGGTCTTCATCATCGTTGCTCCAGTTTAAGCTGGGAAACATCCCTGAGAATCGTAGGTGACCGACGGCACAAGTGTCCTGCCTGCTTCCAGCTTTGTGTGTGGCGCTCTGTATTAAATATTACAGGTCCCCTAAAAATCTTAGGGCTGAATTTCTGCTCCCCAAAAGCATTTAAAAAARCAGGAGGATGAGCCAGTTCCTTAAACTTTAGTATATACCTGTTTTTTTTGGCACCAACTCAAGCTGGAGGTCAGGGCAGCCAGCGGAGGAGGCAGCACCTGCCCTGGGAATCCGAGGGGTGAAGTTTGTGCCCGGGTCAGGGACACGGGTGAGGATCCACGCGGGTTATTGAGGGGGCCGAGGGGGCCAGGAGAGCCCTGGAAAGCCAGGGAGGAGAGGCAGGATGTGGGGATCCCAGTTGCTCGTGTTTTAGCAAGAGCCACGTGGGGAGGAAGGGCTCCCGGGGGGAGGAAGCGGGAAGGAAGTGTGGAAGTGTGATGGGAAGAGATGGGAGCTTTAGGATTGGGTCAGAGGCTTGAAACAACCGCCCASTTAACGCTCGGGGAGGCAGCCAAATGCACTCGTTCTTTCGCCTCTCCTATTGTATCTGATTTACACCTTTTCCTAAATTATTTTTCATTGATGTTTCTGCAAGTGTGCAAGCCGAGAAGTCGTGTGCACCTGCGTTCAGGTGGAGCCTCCCTGCGCTGCTGACTGTTACCAGGAAAGATTCTCAAAGTTCCTTACAGATATTTTTTTTTCCCCCAGTTTACAAGAGAGAAATCCAAAGGCATTTCCTCAGCCTTGGAATTCCAGGCAGGTTTTCTTCCCAAAGGTGGCAGTGACACTTTCAGGAATGGTTCCCTATCTCTGCTTGTATAAAATTCAGTGTCTCCAGTGAGTGTTCTCGATGAATGAGAGGTGTTTTCTCTTTTTTTTTGGTCTAGAGCTTTAAAATCCTGGGATATTTCTGACAGGACAACTTGAAAACTGTTTTGTTTCCAAATTCTACGTCATTGAAAATATGATGCCCAGGCTGTTTCTATTGAACTTCTAGAAGTCAAGATAGTTTTTAAAATAGCATTTCTTGTGCCCCCCCAAATCTTTGCATGTATCTCAAGTTCTCTTATACAGACTTTTAAATTTCATTGTATGCAGTTATATATTAAGACAAATGTTTTCTGGAAAGCTACCGTTATTCCTCCCCTGTTTGGTGCAAAATGTTTTTGAAAATAGTGCTGATGTTCCTACTGTTTATTAAAAAGTGGTTTGCCTTTTAAATAGGCAGGTGGCTTCATATAATCAGTTCAATGGAAAAGCTTTGTATTAACCTTAGCTGTGTCTTGTGTGCGCTATAAGTCTGTGCAGTGCAAAGCTCCCACATTTCTGAGTAATATTTAGGGTCAGAGTTGCTTCGCACTAGATGCCACCAAAGACGAGCGGTGCAGGTGTCAGGTGTCCTTGTCTGTGCATGCACTTCTTGAAGGGGGAACTTCATGTGTGTGTACATATCCTTGCTGGCAAGCAAGTGTATAGTAAGCTTGCTTTTAAAATCTATCTTAATGTGTTAGGACAGCAGCTGATCTCACCTTTTAAAAATTCCTGCATTAAATTGTAGTTTGGGTGTTTGCCTTGATGCAAGGAAATTCGTAGTTATTCTTTGCTGTGTTTGATATCCATCCAGAAAATACATAACTTCGCATCAGACCGGAGTGGTTTATGTATAGGAATACTTAAATAGGCAGAAGCATCAAAGGTAACAGTCTCTCAAGTAAGCTGAAAGAAGTCCAACGAAGTCGAGCTCTATTTACGTTGCTTTCCAGCAGTTGTAATTAGCAGTTTACCGTACGTAATCTTGGGACAGAAGCACGGTTGGGGTGCAGMACGGAGCTTTGCTGCTGGCCTCGCGCTGGAGGAACCTCAGCGAGCAGCCCCCTCGCTCGGTGGAGAAATACAGGGGGTTTTCCCCTCGTTAGTGAGGGCAAATGAAGRAGTGTTCCGTGGCTGAGCAGCTCTCTCCTGTGCCCGCCAGCCCACCTTCCTCGTGGAACTGTCCAGAGTGCTGGCGAACCCGGGGAACAGCCAAGTGGCCCGAGTCGCGGCCGGTCTGCAGATCAAGAACTCCCTAACGTCCAAGGACCCGGATATCAAGGCCCAGTACCAGCAGCGATGGCTTGCCATCGATGCCAACGCCCGCAGAGAAGTCAAGAATTATGTAAGTTTGCTATCATTTTACCTTTTGTCTCTTTTTTGCCTTGGAGTTCATGGGTGACAAAGTCTCGAGCTGCCTTTTCAACTTAAGAAGTTTTCCGCTTGCTGGCTRCCGTGAAAACCGTTTCATCTGTGTGTGCTTAGCTTTCTTGCATATTTAATTTGTAAAAGTATTAGGTTAGAAAGCAAGCAAATGCATGGCTACTGTTTTTTTTATTGTTACGTGTAAATACTTTTGCAAAGCAATTTTTAAGTAGTTGTCTGTGATTCTGTAATTTATGGGCATGGCTTCCTCACCAGGTGGTTTCAGCTAGATTGATGCTTGGGTTTTATTCTTATTATTATGAAGAGCAGCTGCTTCAGCTGTTCTATAAACTGTCACTAATGAGACATACTGTTTGTGTAAACATAGGCCATAGAAAACTTTAGAGTTAGTAGAATGCAGCCATAAATATACAAGTTACAGGTATGAAATGTGGTATTCTAAAGTTTTGTGCAGATGTGGAACTTCCTGCAGACCCTTCTGTTCTTCTATAATCAGTGTCACTTGCAACGAYGAAATGATAGCGGCTGAGTGTTTTTGACCCAATAGAAGAACAAAAGCTGTGCTTTTRTGTACACAGTATTATACAGTTAATAGAAGTTGATTATGAACTTTTATGTAATGTTTTTGTCTTTACACAGATTCAGAGCTATCTGTTAAGTGTCATTGGACAGTGGATTATGATACAACTTTAGACTTTTATTTACACTGACTAAGTCTGCAGTAGGTGCAGGGTGGCTTTGCCTCCGCTGCAGCTGGGAGCTGTCACACTGGTGTATATTAAAAACCAACCAAGCCARTTTATTACTGTCCTGTTGTCAAACGAAAGCCAGGCCCTATTTGTCCTGTCAAGCTGCTTTTACCTAATTCCTGCTAATTGGCTTTTTCTTAACTTCATGGAAATAGTCCCAATCCTCAATTCTATTGAGAAAACCAAGTCCACGAGTGCAGACTGATGAGACGGCAAATGCAGAATGAGTTAGTGGGGTCTCGGCTCACTTGTTTCCRATCATGAAGCCCTCGAGTATTTGGTGCTGGCCGCTCTGCTGAGGGTCAGAGGAGCTGCCCAGGGGCCTGTCCCTTAGGCCCATCCCAGGCGGGCTGGGCAAGGATGGGAAGAGAGTTGTAGCCAACTTGAGAGAGACTAAGGAGCATTGCAGTGCTGTATCATTAAGGAAATGTCTAGGCAATTAAGATGCATTTCAGAATTTTCAGTTATCCCTTCCTGCCTCTTCTGTTCTTAGGGAAGTTATTGAAATATATAAAACTTGTTCTTTTGATTGGAACTGAAATACATTTAAAAAAATAAACCTCTTCCAACCCATCAGGATTATCTTGTTGTAACCAGTCTAGCATTATTTTGGATTATGAACCACCATTTGTTTAGTTTTTGTAACTTAGCTTTAGAATACAAGCAGGAAAGAATTGTTCAGTGAGTCATCAATGTGCATTAGGATATACAGCGTTATGTATGGGACTTAGAGGCTGTGCTGGAAATATGTGCGATCACGCAAGTGTGTCTCACTTCCTGAAAGGGGCAGCCGTGGGTAAGGTCACTTCAAAGATCGTTTGCSTGTGGCCAGGTGCTTTCAGAATAAGCAAGCCCTACAAACCAACTGCTCAGAGGGGTATGTGGGTTTTATCAGGGGGATATCTAGGTGTCAGGCAGGCACCCATTGTCTCTGGTCACTGATCTCAAATAATGATGTACAAACCTCTCGTTGCAGGTTTTGCAGACGCTGGGTACAGAAACGTACAGGCCCAGCTCAGCCTCCCAGTGCGTGGCTGGTATTGCGTGCGCAGAGATTCCCATGAACCAGTGGCCCGAGCTCATTCCCCAGCTGGTGGCTAATGTTACAAATCAACACAGCACTGAGCACATGAAAGAGTCCACATTAGAGGCCATTGGCTACATCTGCCAGGATATTGTAAGTATTTCTGAAGTGTACTCTGCTGCCATAATCTCTCTCCAGTGCCTTTTGTTTTCCAGACTTTCATTTTTTACACCTCTCTGTATTTAACAGGTCTCTGTAGTTGTCTAGTACGTGTCMTGTCTTGGTGCCAGCATAACAGCCTGATGTGTTAATAAATATGCAAGAATGATATCTGAAAGTATGACCTGCTTTCATGACACAAATCCAGGTCATCTTTTGTAAAGTGCAGGCTATGTCTGTGCATCCCTCTGCTCGTGGTGAGGGATGTTGTTGTGAAACCCTAATGTCAGGTGTGTGAAATGGTTCAAGATGGCTGGCCAGTTCTTAACTCCTTTGTGTGCTGGAGAAACCTGGCAACTACCTTAATTGAGGGGTCTCTTTATCCTTAATCTAAACATTTTTGGTACAGGGGCAAGCGTATTATCTGACCCGGACGAGAATGTTTTACTGAGGCACCTTCTACAGAAGTTCCCATGTTTTTATTGCTGTGGTTTGTCATCTCGTGATGTGTTGCATCAAGCAGCTAATCCAAACTGCTCTCCAAAACCCTGGGTATTGTCTGACTTGCCACTGAAAAAACAAAATGGATTGCTGCTTTTTTGCTGTTGCTTAATGCATTAGAAAGTGCATGTTTCGTATTGCATGGTGAACATCAGCGTAGTGAGTTAGAAAGGTGAATCTTCTCCTTGGTGCCTCCTGTCAGGCTACAGGAGCTTTGTCTCGTTCCTTAGTCTGTCCATTTGCGTTTGTGTTGGCTTCTGAGCATATTCTGCTTCTGGGCTTGCAGATGCTCAAAAGAGTAGGGTGCCCTGGGGGTTGTTCCTGTTGCAGGAATAAGGCTGGAATGTTACAATCAGCTTGGGAATCTTCCATTGTAGATGGAGAGGTCTGAAGAATKTAATGGCAGCAGAATGGAGCCTTGAAGGAGAGAGGGAAAAGTCAGTGAGGGAAACCCCATAGGATAAAATGAGGAGCAATAACAGATAACACCAGTGAGGACAGGTAGTGAAAGAAACGGAACAAGGCGTAAGAAAAGACCAATGAAAATCTCGTGTGTTTGGGATATCGATTCAGCAAACAGTGTTTTTTACATAACATTCTTAATATTTGGGGTTTGTGTCAGCTACATTGGAACCCTGTGTAGTTTGGACCTCTGTGCCTGGATAAGTTTTGCTGTCATGCTAATAGGGATTCTTGCAGTCTTAAATTTAGCACCCAAATTAATTTTTAGTCTGTGTCGAAGTTTTAGTCTTCAGATCTGGAAAGCTCAACAGCTACATGTCCTTCCTCCTGGTCCATGCGAAGTTGTCCTGCCCTGTGCCAAAAGGCAGTCACCTTTAACCAGTGAAAGTATTAATCACAAATGCTAATGTAGACCTCTACTCACAATGTAGCAGAACGGGGAAAAAGTCAATATTTTTAACATGCTAATCGAAGGAAGTCAAGTAGAGTGAGACTTGTTGACCTGTTGTTTGAAACAGTGAAGTTTACTGTTTACATTTATGAGCTAAACCTCTGCAATTTGTGTACTCTGTTCGGACTTTGCTTTCCTGGTTCAGAAGCCGTAAAGATGTCATGCTGTACAAATTCCTTGTACATCCTGGTGCTCAGGGTGAACAAAATGCTTCCTGGCTTTAAATGTCCTAATTTCTGTCTGTAGATTTCAGCATCAAGCTTTGAGAATACCATGAAATAAGGAAAAAATAATCATTCATCTGGCAAAAAAACTTTATCAATGTTTCATTTAGGACCCAGAACAGCTGCAGGACAAATCCAATGAGATCCTGACAGCCATTATCCAGGGAATGAGAAAGGAAGAGCCCAGCAACAATGTGAAGCTAGCAGCTACCAATGCACTCCTGAACTCTTTGGAATTCACCAAAGCAAACTTCGACAAAGAGGTGAGAGGAAAACCAGGACAGGTCTTGGCCTAAAATGCAGGGATTGAATCCACGGTCTGTGATGAGAAATCATGCACCACGCTGAGTTTTGATGGATAAATCCACTGCAACTGAGACTTGGATTCATTTCTCTAAATCTAGTGTGTCATTATTGTAATGCACAGCTACTGTGGAAATCTTCAGAAATTCATCAGTGGAAAGGAAGCATCATGAATTTGGGGGATAAATATGAACTGACCTGAGAGTTTAGTCTATTAGAGGCTCTGCTTCCTGATCAAACTCTACCCTAATGCTGCTGTGAGAGTACAAGCTTGGATCAGCACTTCCTTTCAAGTGACATGGCAGCAATCCAGATTTAACTTTGCCTTTGAAATTTGTTGGGGGAGGAAGACTGGTAAGAGCCCTCAGAATAGGGGCCTTCAATTTGTTTCGTTTTCKTTGGGTTAAAGCAGATCATCTAGGTCCTTAGCAAGCAGAGCACAGGGAAGATACTATAGAATTAATATTGAACTTCAGCAAGCTCTGAAGCACTTCTAATGAATCCTTTTTTAGTGTAGTGTCTAGCTGGTGTTGGTTTGGATTAATGAGCGTCTTTCCAAATTTGAGGTGTGAGGTATATTTCTACTGACTTCAGTATTGTAAGTAACTTATGTAATTTTCTTGAGTTATGCAAGTTTTGAGGTTTCTTGAAGGAATTGCTGAAACAGCTCAGGAGACAATAGGGAGGCTGTTTCCCTCCCTTTAGAGAAAGATGGTCATCTTAGTGCTGACTCTCTCCTTTAAAGTCTGCTAAATATATTTTAAAATTTGTTTGGCATTCCCACTGGGAAAAGAAATTACTTTTATAATATCACAGAGAACAGTACACTGCACTATTCCTTCTTTTAGGTGCAGKATGAGTGATTGTAGTAGTCAAGACGCAAAATATATCCTCCCCAGGAAGACTCGCAGAGGTTTTGATGCTTTTGCAATACAGTTCTAATGTTCTTTTATTTCTTCTTCAGTCTGAAAGGCACTTTATTATGCAAGTAGTCTGTGAAGCAACACAGTGTCCGGATACAAGGGTGAGTGAAAAACATGTGTCCTGATTGTCGTTACCCCCTTCTTTGGGAAGCTGTCTAGAAGCTTTTGCATCATAATTAAACTATTTAAAAAAATGGTCTGTAAAGTGAGTAGCATTCCGTAAAATGCCTGCTATATCTGAGAATTCTCAGACATGCTAAATTAGCAAAACTAGCAGGGCCTTATGGTAAAAGACCTTATGTGTGGAGTAAACTGAATAACCAAAGGGCAGGGTTATTAAGCTGTGTTAGACTAGAACCAGGCTCGTTTTTCAAAGCGCTCGGGGAAGTGTCATATCTGTGATGCAGTTTGAGCTCTTGCAGGTACGAGTGGCTGCATTACAGAATTTGGTGAAGATCATGTCGCTTTATTATCAATATATGGAGACATATATGGGTCCTGCTCTTTTTGCTGTGAGTACTCCGTTTTTCACCTATAATTGTTTGACCTCTGCCTGYATGCCTTGACCTGGGAGGAAAAACTTTGTAGTCACCATCTTTTCTTAATGTTCTTCTCTTCTTGTTCCTAAAGATCACTATTGAAGCAATGAAGAGTGACATAGATGAGGTGGCTCTGCAGGGAATAGAATTCTGGTCGAATGTCTGTGATGAGGAGATGGACCTGGCTATAGAGGCGTCTGAGGTGAGCTCGCGAGTGACGGCCGCAAAGCGCTCTGTGCCCATGTCCAGCTCTTTGGGAACRTGCAGAGAGCGTGGATGAAACGGCCCTAGAAGTTCTCCCGTTCCCCGGGGTGTGACACTGTGTGAGAGCCCGTGGGAGCGCCTGGGGCGGCASTGCCGGGTCCGTGATGACACTTCATGCACCACGCTGACGCTACGTGATGCGTGTCTGTTGTCAAGCTGAGACCTTTGGAGGCTGCGCGAAGCCCCCAGCACTTGTTGCCCCTGGTGTGCGCTGCAGATGAAAGGACAAGTCAGCAAATAGCTTTAGTTTATATATCAAAGACCTCTTGCTTTGGTACTGGGAGGTCCCTTGTTACTTGCACAACTGCAGACTGAAAATGTGCAATTGCACTGTGGGCGAACGGCCTCGACACGTGTGGAGTGACCAGTTGAGCTGCTGCTTCAAACACTTAGCTGGGGCTGGCTTGGGATGCCCTTCRTTAGGGAGAGGAAGGTGTTTGGAAGGGAACCATGCAGGAGTGGATAATTCGGCTCTTATGTCTGTGGTCACTGAGGATCACTCTGTAACTCTTCTGTCTAGGCAGCAGAGCAAGGAAGGCCTCCAGAGCACACGAGCAAGTTTTATGCCAAGGGAGCTCTACAGTACCTGGTCCCAATTCTAACACAGACGCTAACGAAACAGGTGAGTGGCAAATTTCCAGATGTGCGTCCAAAAATATACATGTTGCCCAAGGTGACTTGTTGATATGTTCAGCCTGMAAGATACTTTAGGCTCTTGAGGGTGGTTTGTAGCAGTGCTGTTATTCTGAGCCCCTGCTGTGGCAGTCCTAGGGCTGGGATCTGGCCAAGCTGCTCCCATTGGTGCCTACCTGAGGCTTTGCCTTTGGAACTGAGACTTTGAGACTGCCTGGAGTATTGTTTTTATGCTCCATTTTGTCAGTACAGGTTTGTATTTATGATACATGTAGGGGCTTGGTAATTATGTATGTTTCCATTCTTGGAATTTTTAAGCTTCACATGCTGAGTTCTTAGGTCCAGGTTTACTTCGTGCCTCCTGAGCATTTAATGGGGTCTCATTTGGACTCTGTTTCACAGTCTAATCAAAATTAATGAAATGACTTGCTGTAGTAGGTCTAATTATAAAATAAGACTGTTAATTAAGCTGTGCTGAATGGAATTTGTTTGTCTTATTGTGATGAAATGGGAAAATTCTTGGTGTGTTCTTAGTGAATCCAATGACCTGTTTGTTTTTATATTGCTGTCTGTTTGAATGTGGAGGGTTAAATTGTGGGAGATTTTAGAGTGATCGTTAAAATAGAAAGATAGATAAGGGAATCACAGGTGCACAGCTTCAAAGGAATTTAAGTGGCTGAACTAGCAGTTGGAGGGAAGAAGCTCTCTGGCTGGCTCTGTCTAGGTACAGCAGGTCACTCTCTGCAAGGCAACAGCACGGATCAAAGAAAACTCAAATCTCAATCTAGATGTGGGAGAAGTGGTTTGGAAGGTGCGTGTGGATATGTCAGGAAAGAGCTCGCAGCCTAAAACCAGGCAGGAGGCTACAGATGGTGCAGTTCAGGTTGTTTCTCTGACAGAGCGGTAGATGCTGCTTCATAAATCTGAATTAATATTCTAAATATAACACTATGTAATAAGGCAATGCAGCTTGCTGTGGATCTGGTAGAATACCACTGCCTGTGGCTGTAAAGGATGTTCTCCCAGACTGACCAGGGGTGCTTTATTGCTAGGATGAAAATGACGACGATGATGACTGGAACCCGTGTAAAGCAGCAGGAGTTTGCCTCATGCTCCTGGCAACCTGCTGTGAAGATGACATTGTTCCTCATGTGCTGCCCTTTATTAAAGAACACATTAAAAATCCAGATTGGCGATACAGAGATGCAGCCGTAATGGCTTTCGGGTGCATTTTGGAAGGACCGGAGCCTAACCAGCTCAAACCACTAGTCATACAGGTAAGGCTGAAATGGGAATGTATCCTACGGGCTGTGAGCGCGTAGTTGAGCTGCGCTCACAAGAACATACAGAACTGCAGAGTACCTGGCTCCAGGCACTTCAGCTCTCGAGTCCTACCTGCTGTTAAGTAACTTCATGAATCTTCAGATATTGGCACAATGGTTTAAACTGATCTATATGATGTGGTTTTCCGTTTATGTTTATTAAAATTGCTAGAGCAAAGAGTGGCAACTTCATATATTCAATATAACCGCGTGTTTCTGCTGCTTGCCCTTGTGTTGCAGGCTATGCCAACTCTAATAGAATTAATGAAGGACCCTAGTGTTGTGGTTCGAGACACAACTGCGTGGACGGTGGGCAGGATCTGCGAGATGCTCCCCGAGGCTGCCATCAATGACATTTACCTCGCCCCACTGCTGCAGTGTCTGATTGAGGGCCTGAGCGCTGAGCCCAGAGTGGCCTCCAACGTGTGCTGGGTAAGGCGGTTCCTTTGCTCTTTGACATGCAGTAGATAGAGCCCATGGAGGGGAACGCAGCTCATGAAGAAGGCCTTGTGTTTAAATGCTCCTAAGTGGGTTTCAGAGACACCTCGTGACTTACAGTTACGTTTGCTGAAATAGAAAGATAGTTCTAGCTTGTTTTCTGGTTTTGGTAAGGAGAAAAACACTAATATTAACAGAGCGTAGAAGTTCTCTTCAGTTTGACAATGCTGTGGAAGCTGTCCGTTGAAAAGGAGCTGTCACACCTGCTAGAACGGGGATGATGGGATTTGGCTTTTCATTAGGGGCACCTGGATTGCTCTCATTTTGAGAGACACAAGATACTTTGTTTTCTCTTTCCCATCACCAACGTCCACTTCTTGCCTTGACTCAAAACTGTTCTGAGGAGCAGGAGATATTTTGTTCCCTTGCAGAGCTTTGGTTTGAGTTCCCAGAGCTCCACTGGGTTAGCTCACTGAGTTTAACAGTATCTTCTTCCTTACACCTGTTCACCACCAAGTGACATGTGTGAAGAGGATTTGTCCCTTTTACTGCCTTKTAAGAGCTACTCAATAAGAATTTGGCTAGAGATGAGTATTTGCATGTCAAAATAAGTTGTAGGAATACAGAATTCACTTTTTTTAATATTCTAGAGGTTTAAAGACTTCTAGCGAATGCAGAAGCTTCAGTCCATGGATCCTGACAAAAGTTTATGCATCYGTAGCTTTTGTTTCCTGAAGATAATGAATAATATATATATTTTAGATTGAAGTGAAAATCAGGAGGCTTTGATCTTTTTTGTTTAATCCACCTGCCTTTCAGAGCAGCTAAAATTGCTCTGTGGTTGGGAATTTGAGCAGTCCACAGCCTTGTCTAATGAGGATTTTAAGCTGTGATGATAATGCCAGGCAGTAGGTAGAATCAGTGAAGACCCTGTGTAGTTGAGGCAGTCTGCTTTTATGCACTTGGGTTCTTGACAACTACCAGTTGCTGAGACTCYTAGTGCTATGCAGAAATTTGTCTGCAGACATTTGTCTGCAGACAGTTTAAGCACCTTGCATGTTAATGCTGTATTTGAAGCCTTAAAAATTTTTGTCGCTGTTACGCAAAGCTTTGGTGCACTAAGTAAATAGCTGTTTATAGAGAGGATAGTTAATCCTGCACCTGTATGTAAATAGCTGTTTATAGAGAGGATAGTTAATCCAGCACCTTTGTTGCTGTTTTTTTTTTTAAGAATAAAAATATTTTATGTGAGCTCCAAATATAGGAATTGTGGTTCCTAATGAGCTGTAAGGAGTGGCTTTGATGGTAACCTTGCTAGAAATGGTCRTTCTGCGTTTCAGGCCTTCTCTAGTCTTGCTGAAGCTGCCTATGAAGCTGCAGATGTAGCTGATGACCAGGAAGAGCCCGCAACCTACTGCTTATCCTCCTCATTTGAGCTTATTGTTCAGAAACTTCTGGAGACCACAGACAGGTAACATAAAACAAGTTGGTTTAAGAAGCCCTACAAAGATATTTTTATTATTTCAGTCCCTTGGTTCTCTTCTGCAGCTTAAATCTGACTGGTATYTTATCAGAATTGGGCTTTTTGGCCTTGTTTAGAATATAAAATGATGAGTCCTCTGGAGGAAAGCTATTCACACAGAATAACTTCTTAGTTTTTTGTCCATGCTGGTTTTCAGTCAGCCTGGGGTTTTCTGCAAATGTTGATCTGCTTTGAAGCTCTGCCACGTAGTAGCAGACTGCACAGTTCTCCACACAGGATTACGATTCTCTCCAAGGCTGCTCCAGGGCCGTTGAATAATCGGGACTGCAGCAAGGCATAATTGCAAACCCGTGTAGCGTATGGTTCCTTTTACCGTGACTCTTCTGGTAGTGGTGCTCTTGTGTTACTATACTTACATTAGCAACGGCTCCTCCCGGAAGATACGAGGGCCTGGTTAGGTTATACACTGTCCTTTCCTCAACTAAACTGAAATATAAATTGACAAGAAAAGAAAAATACTTTTAGTTCTGCAGATGCCAGGCTARTGGTAATGTTGAATTCATCATCTGCCTTCAAGGTCCCGTGAGGAGTTTTGACAGCTTGGGGTTCAGCTCTTGGATGAGTTCAGTCTTCAGCTGAAGCCTTCATCTGCAGGACTCTCTAAATGGGGTCACTGTCTGAACAGTTCAAAGTCTGAACTATCTCCCTGTCTGGTTTACTTGTGACTAGAAGTGTAGTGTCTAGCACAAGGCAGGGAAACCAGCACTGTCTGTGTAGAGCTTGGCTATCTCTGTTTCACATTTAATGTTCTCACTGATAGCTCAGAGGAATGTGACAGAATGATGCAAGGTGCTCGCCTCTTGAGATCAGTTCTCGCAGGTTAGCACACTGGGATGTGCGAGTTTGAAGCTGCTTTCTGCTCCCATCCTTGCTATCTGTGACTGAAGATGTTGGAAGTCGTTCTTAGTGAATGAAAAAGAAGTCTCAAAAGTGATTTCACCAATTTCATTTTGTTTGAAGTCTGCAGTACAGAAGTAGAAATGGTTCAGCTTGTCACAACACTACAATTTAGCTGTTGTTGATTTACTAAAAAGGACTGTTTCTAAGCAAACTTGCGCACTGAGAGCTGAAAATAAATTCCTTCTGTGATAGGCCTGATGGACACCAGAATAACTTGAGGAGTTCTGCGTACGAAGCTTTGATGGAAATAGTGAAAAACAGTGCCAAGGACTGTTACCCTGCTGTCCAGAAGACAACTTTGGTCATTATGGAGCGGCTCCAGCAAGTGCTGCAGATGGAGGTGGGTAAACCTGAGCTGCACCCTCATTGTGCTGCTGTAAGGGAGGCTTAAAGGAAGCAATAGCTTCTAATGTTGCTGTTGTGCTGTGGCTTTGTCCATAGAAAAAGGAGTTTTGTTGCAGACCACATATGTTATAGCATAATGTATTTTTATTTATGTAAATGTAGGTAAATATATTAATTTTTTAGACAGTACCTTTACTTGAAAAGATCAAATATGTATTTAAACTTGCCTTTCTGATGCCCATAGCACTGTTAAAATTTGCAGGGCTTGCATGAGCAAAGATCAAGTGTTTTTATATTTGATTCTTTTTCTTTTTCAGTCTCATATCCAGAGCACTTCAGACAGAATCCAGTTCAATGATCTTCAGTCTCTACTTTGTGCTACTCTACAGGTAAGTTCCTGTTCTTTATTTAGCGGTTATGGAAAAGAGGCAGTTCAGAGACATTCCTACACCTCAGAGAACGTGGACTTGGTTCTAGTGTTGAAATCCAAATGATGAATTTGGATCTTGTGTCCCAAGTTGTTGTGTGGGAAGTGCTAAGGTTTGGAAGGCTTCAGCTGTTCCAGCAGAGGACAMCTTACCAAACTAAGCAACTTAGTGTGACTTGCTCAAGACAGTATGCCCTTTCAGACTGATTTCTTATGTTGGCTAGAGAGTGAACAATTGCTTTGAGTTGGCACAAGCTAAAAAAAAAAAACTCTGTAATAGCTTTAATTTGTTCGTCTGCCTCTTGTGGTTGGTGTTCTTATTTAAAATGGCACTAATTAAAATGCAGTAAGTGTCCTTGATATTAAACATCTGGTAATGAACAGCCCATGTGACTTAAARCGTTAGCTCAGTTTAGTTTCCTGCCTGATTTTACAAAGTCCGCTGAAAACAACCACTTTTTTCCCCTACAAGTCAGGGAACTCAGCAGGCAGGCGTTCTGAAATCGCATGTACTTGATATTGAAGCTTTCCCCTTAATATTGCAGGAAAAAAAAAAAAAAAGGTGCCACCTTGCTGTTATGCTTGGTGTATTAAAGTTATAGGGTACTAATTTGAAAATAATAATAGAGAAAATTCAACGCTAAAACACTACTGGTTGCTCGCAGAAAAAGGTTGGATTTTTGTCCCCTGCAGGGGTAGCAGACTGCCCTGGAATCCGCAGCACAATTCCTGAATGTCCCTCTCTRCTCAGATCTGTTCCTTCGGGTTTGTTACCTGTTTGCTGGCGTTCCTCACTCTYTTTCCTCTCTGATAGCCTAGAAACAGAACCTTCTCTTCGGCTGTGGGGAGCAGCCTGTTTCTCTTGGCAGTCAGTTTTAGCTTTCTGTCTTCCAAATGAGTTCAGAAGGTCTCCTGGGCATTAGGCCTTCTCGTTTAAAAGCCAGTAGTGTTAACTGATACCTGTATTCTATGCAATTTTTAGGGTAAGTTTTCAAATAATGGTTGCATAGAAATAATGTGTCTTTTATGCTGGATTTTAATGGAGAGGCTTCAGTATGGAGGATCCCTTTTTGGCACGGTGTGATCGCTGATCCCTTTCAGGTCATCTCTTCACACCTGTGGGAAGTGTAGAGCAAGGAGCACAGATGGAAGGAAGTTGATGGTTTGAATTTGCAAATACACCATGCTTCACCAGCAGAAAACTGGGACCATAATAGTATTAAGTATCTGCTGTGGTTACTGGAAATACCTAACTAAAAATTAGTAGAGGGATTTTTCAGTGTCTGGTAGTCAAATATTTTGTTACATCACTTTTTCTTCCCGCATGAAAATACCCTTAGACATACGGCGGGGCGGGGGGATGGAAATAATGCTTAAAAGGATGAGAAAATCAAGACCTATTATTTAACCAAAGCCAATCTCTTTGAAATGATTCAGTTTAAAGAATCGGACTTGAAATAATTATTTTCCCCTCAGGTTAAGGGATCTGTTTTTCTCTTTTTGCAGGAAACGCAAATTTATTTTAAATAAGGATACATGAAAGCTGTGTTCTGTACTCCAMATGCTAAGAGGCTGTCAGAATTGTATAGGGTAAACAGAGCATATATTAAGCTTAGACATTTGCCTTGAGTGCTTCCTTGGCCCTTCTGCTGAGTGTGGTGTCCTGCGTAACGGGACACTCTTGTGCTCCCCAGGCGGGTCCGTTTGTCCATGAACCTGCTCCCCAGGTATCGGAATTGCYGTTCGGACACCTCAGTGCTGGATGTATTTGTGTAAACTTCAAAAATTTAATTYCATGGTGTAGAAGCAGAGCTTTCATGCAATCTATAATTGACAATAAGAGATTGCCTCTGCATTGTTACTGTGCAAAATGGGCTTTGTTATAGGGCGAGATTTGGACTGGTCTCATTTAATGCCAACTGCAAATGGAATGCCCAGAGAACAGCCTATGCAGCAGGAAAGGTAAATTCTGCTTGTTCTGTAGCTGGAAAATTGAGTGTAGCTGAAATGAATGGGACTTTGCACTCACCCTGACAAAGCATGTTTTTGCAGTAGCAGAGCTCAAAGCAGTTCTCTTCCCCTTTAGCAGCCTGGGGTGGTCACAAGCATTTGGAGCTGACACAGGACATGCGAAGGAATCATTCGGCCTGGTGTGTATGGGAATGACTGCAGCCTCTTTTCCCCTTTCCCACTAGAACGTTCTCCGGAAAGTGCAGCACCAAGATGCTCTGCAGATCTCGGATGTGGTGATGGCCTCTCTGCTGAGGATGTTCCAGAGCACGGCTGGCTCGGGGGGCGTGCAGGAGGATGCCTTGATGGCAGTCAGCACCCTGGTAGAAGGTCAGTATTGCAGTGMACAGACTGGCTGGGGAACAGAGCTCATTTGCTGACCTCTTTTGATTATATGACAAAAAAAGGAATAAAAAAATAGTTCTTGATTTAGCTTGAGGTATAGTTTGGACCACACAGCTCACCACATTGATCTAGGAAGCCCTGAGAGCAGCTGACTGCGTCTGACTGTTGAATGAATGAACGATGGAAGGGCTTGTGTTCTGCTTGTTTCTGTATTTGCTGCAATGCAAATCTGTCAGAAAATAGCTAGTGCAGTCTCGTACAGTGCCGAGCACAACAGGAGCCTCCTCATGCTGTCAACGTACAGATTTAATATTATCTTAATGATTCATCCTTGATGCTGCCTGTGACCCATTTCCGTTTTGTAGAGTTTTGTCAATGGTTAATTAATATTCATTGTTCTTGCTCAAAAGGAATCAGTGGCAGAGATCAGCGTTAGAATGAGAGAGAATTTGTGAAGCAAAGTAAAATTAGGGTTGTGACATTCCAGGCAGTTTGAGCTTCATGATTCACATTTAGAACATGCTGGCTGCGGCATGATGTCGAGCTCTAGGAATGCACTGCGCTGTCAAATGCCACGTACGTGAATGTGAAAGTTAAGGTGCTGCTGAAAGCCCATGTGGAATAATCTCCTTACCTAGCATCCCTCCTGCCCCGACACCTGTTTTTTTCTAGTAAAAAGCATGCTTGAATTGGAAGCAGGTCTTGAGAGATCAGTTTATAAGGAGACTTGCAAGGTTTTTCCTTTGTCTCTGAGGCTGTTGGCATAACCAGCTTGTTGAGGATCTGTTCTGTAGGTGATGGGACCTATTTCTGGCAGAGATGCATGGCTCTGAGCATGAACAACAACCTGGAAGTGCAACGGTTTTGGTCTTTTTTCATAGTCAGAAGTGCTGCTCTAGAATCAGATTTTTTTTGTCTTCAAAGGCCTGCTGCGAAGTGAGCTCTCCTGAATTTTGTTTTAGTCCAAACGGACCCATTTCACTGCTCAGTTTTCGTGTAAAATGTAGTGGCGAGTCCATTTGCTGTATCTGTGTGGAACAGGTACTGGCTTTGGGTGGAATGTGGTGGTGCTTTTCTCTTTCCTAAAACTTTAGGAAGAAGTGCTCTAGGCTAGAGCTTTCCCTTTAACCAGAGTGCTCTCTGTGCACAGTGTTAGGTGGAGAGTTTCTGAAGTACATGGATGCCTTCAAACCGTTCCTTGGCATTGGACTGAAGAACTATGCTGAGTACCAGGTAGGGCTCAAATCGGGCAGCCCTTTGTTCAGAATCGCTTAAACTCTCTTCCCAGATGCTGAGATCAGCAGGTGGGCATCTAAAATGCCACAGCTTTGGTGACAAAAACCAATTTGAAGACTTTTTTTTTCTAATTACTGTCAGCATGCACAAATTTAGACCCCCATACGTTTGATTTAGCAGAAAGCCTTTATTGACTTGACACCTGTGTTTTCACACTAGCTGTATATATCACTTGGCCATGGTGAGGAGAGACTCAGCCCAAACAATGCCAAATCCCCTGGCTGTGGATTTCCATTAGTGTCAGGTTGTGGGACTGGTGTTGAGAACACCTGGCTCCTGAAGGTGGTAGCAATTGTTCACACCAAGCGCTTGTCCCTGTGGCATCTGGAGCTCTTGCTTGCCCTGTGGGATAAACTTGTCCAGATGTTTTTGCAGCTTCTACCTTCAATGGTTAACAAAGCTCGAGCTCRCCAGCTGTTTCCTGGGGGTCGCTGGGCTCGGTGGTGTTAATGGCTACAGCCTCTCACCACTGCCTGGTGTTGTAATAAGCTAAAGCTTCCACGTARCATGTGGAAGATGAACACGTGGGCTGGGTTGTTGCTTACTCTTCTATTTGCAGGTTTGTCTGGCTGCAGTGGGCCTGGTTGGCGACTTATGTAGAGCCCTGCAATCCAACATCCTGCCTTTCTGTGACGAGGTTATGCAGCTGCTCCTGGAGAACTTGGGGGTGAGTGTTTACCTTCTCATTAGCCAGTTAGTAACAGTTGGCTGGCATACCGAGAAGAAAGTGGGAGGTGGGAGAAGCAGAAGTGTTAGGCATGCTCTGAAGATCTCGTGTTTGACAACTCTGCTGCTTACCACTTGAATCGAATCCAAATTTATTGGGAATGAGGGTTCGAACTTCAAGTAAATGTCCTAATTTATTAGCCCTTAAAAAGGGGGGAAGCGTAGCTGAACTTAATGGTGCTGAAATCTCTTGCAGAATGAAAATGTTCATAGGTCTGTGAAGCCTCAGATCCTTTCAGTGTTCGGCGATATAGCCCTTGCCATTGGAGGAGAGTTTAAGAAATACCTCGATGTTGTGTTGAATACCCTGCAGCAGGCCTCGCAGGCGCAGGTTGATAAGGTGAGCCATGCTGCTGCTGCAGCTGTGAACGAGCAAAGCGCCTTCCCCCAGACCCCTTCCTAAAGAAACTCCCTGCTGCCTTTGCAGTCTGACTACGACATGGTGGACTACCTGAACGAGCTGAGGGAGGGCTGTCTGGAGGCATACACGGGCATCGTGCAGGGCCTCAAGGGAGACCAGGAGAACGTGCATCGTGAGTGTTCCTTCCTCCCGCGGCGCTCCCCGGCGTTGAGCTGATAAACGCAGGCGGGAAAAGCTGTGCCTCAACAAGCTGTTTCCTGGGAGTTGTTTGTCTCATTCGTAGGAATATCCTCACAAATTCCTCGTTGCGTGGGAGTAAATACTCAACAGCCACGTGGAGGGGATGGGCTGGGAACAATTCACTCTGGTTTCTCCGGCCTCTTGGCAGCTTTTCCCTTCCTAACTTTGAGGGTCTTCTGGGATTGGGTTCTGTCTCAGGGAGTATAGTGGAAGCCCTTCTGAAAGAGCTGGTGATTGAATGTGAGCTGTTTGTTCCCTGTGCTATAATAAAGTTGTTTCTTTCAGCGGATGTCATGTTGGTGCAGCCCAGAGTAGAATTTATTCTGTCTTTCATTGACCACATTGCTGGAGATGAGGATCACACAGATGGAGTGGTGGCGTGTGCTGCTGGACTGATAGGGTAAGCACCTAAGCGTAAGCTAAAATTAGCAGCAGTCATCAGCTAAAAGATCGTGCATCTTYCTGCAATAGCCTTAATATTCCATTTGCAGTTTTCTGATTGTCTGAAGTGTTTGTCACCAGTCCCGAGTTGCTGCAGTCTAGAGTGAGATGCTGAAACCAAAGTGCAAAGTGAAGGACAGGGATCTGGTTAATGAGGGTGAGGACCGTCAGCTGACAGAGAGAACCTGTAGGTACAAGGGAAGGTTGTGTGCGTGCTGTAGAACATCCAGGTATAGGATTTCTCAAAGGTGACCTGWCTGAAAAAGAAGCTCCTAAAACGTCAGTTCCTTGCCTATGGAGGAACTTGGGTCTGATTTTATTTATTTATTAATCTTTTGTTGAATTTGAGGAAAAACAGTCTTTGGATGGGAGATTGCACGTCTCCAGTTAGTCACAATTTGAGGAAAACTGTTCAGCTTTCCCGCTGCTGAAATTAGTGACCATATGCAGCGTTCTGAAAATGACATTAGTTGTGAGTCAGATTTTTTGCTAGCAAGAGCTGATCAGACTGGCACTGGCGCAGCTGTTTGTGGCACTCAGCCTCAAAAGCCTCTCTCTCTTCCCCAGGGATTTGTGTACAGCATTTGGAAAAGATGTTCTGAAATTAGTAGAAGCTAGACCCATGATACATGAACTGCTAACTGAAGGAAGAAGATCCAAGACGAACAAAACAAAAACCCTCGCAACCTGGGCCACTAAAGAACTGAGAAAACTGAAGAATCAGGCTTGGTAAGGGGCTCCAGCTGCTTCTCTTTCAGGTTACTCACTTATGAAACTGGCTAAACTCTGAGGTGTGAAAGAGACACTTCTCAACTTGTATATACCTGCGCTTTTTTAGTTATTTTTTGTTAAACAAGCCCCACTAGCAAGCCTGTATATCACAACAAATGCAAGCCCTGAGAAGCACAGGGAACTCTTYACATTCCCAAGATGAAACACAGGCTTGGGAAGCTTCTTGCTCTGTGAAGTGCTCCATCCTTGCCAGCCTAGGATGACCCGAGTTGCTCCAAGTTACCCAGGTGTTTACCTGGGCATGTCAGTGCCTTTTAAAGGGAGCAGATTAGGGAAAGCAGACATGGTAGCATATCTGCCTTTGGGGGAGGTTAAGCCTCTTCCAGCTTTGTCACCTTAGGTGGAAAATGCCTTTATTCCTATTATTTCCCCTTTAGTTTTGTCAAGTTGCGTGGTGTTTTTTGTTCGTTTCCTGCCCCTGGATTTTTGTGGGTTTTTTTGTTTGATTGACTATTTTTGCTTGCAGATCGGCTACCATTGGGATGACACCTGAGACCCCCACTGGAAATCTCCAATCTTTTGAAAAAACCCGGAAGTGAGGAGTGTGCACGGATGCTGAATGTTTGGGAATGAGAGGATGAGTGAGTGAGGCTTGAAACACACCACATTGCAAACCCCGCCGCAGCAGCAGCAGCCGGTAGTGAGCTGAGCACTGACTTGCCTAGAAAACCCGGCACGGGCCCTCCTCGGCGAGAGGGAAGCGACCGATTTCCATTGAAGCAAGGAGCAAATCTCTGCTTCCGACACACTTAGGACTAGCTTTGCTGTCTGGGCCGGCGCAGAGCGGAGCGGCCGCTTTGGGCGAGAGGGAGCGGGGTTCAGCCGTGGTGYTCGTGGCCCGAGGGCCGGCCTCGGCTGCAGGAGGGGGATGGAGCCCGGCCCGCCGGCCGCCCGCCGGAGCCGTTGCCACGCGGTGCTGTCGGTGCATGGGATAAAAGGAGGGGTGAAGGATTGTCGGTCTAGGAGTGAGTGTGTGTGAATGAGGCGGTATCCACATTCTCAACTTCGAGTCATTGCAGTTTATCTTTTCCCAAAAAAAAAAAAAAAAAGGGTTAGCTGTTGCATTTCATAAACTAACCGAAGTTCAGTCTACTGATGCAGCGTAAGAGATGTAAAAAAAAAAAAAAAAGAAAAAAAAAAAGAAAAAAAAGAGGTAAAAAAGAAAAAAGGAAAGTCGCTCTTTAGGGCTTTTTTATTTTAGGGAAACACTGACGAATGTTCAGAGCTCCCATTCTGAGTGACGCTTTTCATGATCTTGTTTCATCAAAGCGCCTTTCCTTCCTTAATATTGTTCAACTGTGAATGTAGAAATGGGGGAAAAAAAAAAAAAACTTTTGCGTTAGAGGGAATAGAAATAAATTGTCAAATGATTTCAGGCTTAAAAATAATAAATAAGCATAAGTGCTCTGAATTGGCAGTGAGAACGCAAAGGGAAAGATCTCTCCTGACTTGTACTGTAGCAGCCTGAACACCCACAAAAATTGTGCCAAAGAGTTGAAAAACAAAATAAAACTTCAGGTAATATTTTGGATTGCAAAATGAGGATAAATTCAATGTTCAAACAAAAAAAATCTGATAAAATGCCATTTGGAAACTGCTTGGCCTTTTGTGCTCTTTATTTGATCAAATTTAATGTGGTATTGGTCTCTTGCTGCACTTCAAAAACAAAAAAAAAAGGAAAAAATAAATTTATATAAAATATATATATACTGACTTGAGCTTACACAAGACGGCACTTGTAAAAGGTTATATTTTTCCACTGCAGTTGAAGATTAATAAAATGGTGTCAAACATTCCCCAAATAATTCCTTTTTGTATTCTTGGTCTTTCCAGTAAAAGGGGAACCCATTAACGATTTTTTAATAGAGTAGTAACAGTCTGATGGGCACCTCGGAACAGAGCTGGCTGTTTACTGCTTCCCCAATGCCGCGGCTCTTCCCTTTGCCGGGAAGGAGCAGGATCTCTTGGTTCCTCTTGCAGGAGACCCTTATTTTGTGCTTTTTCTTTGGAGGAATAGGCCCTTGCTCAACCCAGCCTGTCAGCAATAAGCCAAGGAGAAGGGAGAAGGCGCAGGGGTAGAGACTGTTGTGCTGCGTTTTTATTAATGCAGCTCTTGCTACTACCAGCATTTGAAGCCGCAGTTTAACAGGGGCATTTTTACAAGCTCTTCGTGGGAGGGAGAATAGAAAACCATAGCCGGTTTTTTTTCCTTTTTTTTTTTTTTTTTTTCCTTTTTAAAGCGGGTGCAAATCTGCTTTATTCCCCCGGTTTCCTTTTCCCAGCTCTGCTCCCCGGATCCATTCCGCTGGAGTCCCCTTTGGTTGCCCATCTGCACTGCAGCATCCACACTAGCTCTTGTACAGGGTATCAGATAATGTGCCTTTCAGTGCTGGGTTCAGAAAGCAGTCGAAGTGCCGACCTTTGAACCAGTGTACAAAATAATAAAATAATAATAAAAAAGAAATCCCAGGCATTGTGAGAGGAAGAGCTCTGTTATCTGGGAGCGGCGAGCAGCTCCTGCCCCCCGGACGAGTGCGTGGCCTGGGTCGCATTTCTAGCAATGCCTTTTCTTTTCATTTTTTGTTTCTTGAGGTGGGGTGGGATTTCCTTTGAAAAAATAAAAAATAAATAAAAATAAAAAAAGCCATTCCTGAAGTTGGAGAGGGGGCGTGGAGGGAAGAAATCTGATCATTCCTCAGTGCTACCTGTTTCTGTCCTGTGTGGCTGTTCAGCTGTAGACAGCAGGAGAATAAAGTACACTGAGACCGTAGTGGAAACAAACCTCGTGTCTGTCATGTTTGTGGGGGGACTGACTGGCGCTTTTGGGGGCGTTTTCCTTCCAGAGAACCCCTTCCCAGAGGCTTCCTGCCCCATCCCAGCTTCCCAGGAGCAACAGCATCCTGCAGGATCTGTGCCTGGTGTTTGGGACCTGGCCTGGGAGCCCTGAATCCAGTTACAGCTTTCAGCGAGGGAGGGCCAAAGACCAATTTTATTGTTTAAATACATTTTTCAAGAGCTGGTTTCACTGTCTGGCAGACTCATTAATGGATTTTTTTTTTCTTTCTTTCTTTTAAAGTGCCCTTTCAGCTCTGGGATGGAAAGGGGCTTGTTCCTTAGCTCGTGTCCGTGTCACGCTCATCCTCCTGCTCCAAGGTCTTCAGGGTGGGGGAAACATTTAAGCTTTAGTCGTGCCCGTTAACGCAATCCTGCTGTTCTAGCACAGAACCAGTTCATCAACCTCCTCCACAGAGGTTAATCTGCAGCGAGAGCGGAGCGCTGTCGCTGCGCCCCCCCCGGTTAATCCCGCTCCAAAAGGACCCGCTTACTAACGAATTGCTGGGATTGATTGACTTACGTTTGCAAGCAGAGCTGCTTTATTTTTGTTCTTTCCTTCGCCGCTGGGTCTGCGGAGCTGCCAGCGCTGCCTCCGCGCGTGGGCCCGGCGAGACGGCGTGGGAGCCCGGAGCCGGAGCCGCCGGTGTCCCCGGCCACGTGTGGCACCGCACAGGGCACTGCGGCCACGCGAGGCTCTTCCCGGGAACCGGCGCTGCCAGGACCGGCTCTCCTGGTTGGTATCCCCATTTTTCCCCTGTTTTCTCCCGCGCAGCGGGTGGCTCCAGGTGACTGCGGTGCTTCGCCGAGSGCTGCCGTCGCCGCGAGGACGTCGCTCTCCACAGCGCACCGGGAAGGCACGGGAAGGCCGTTTCCCTGCCGGCTTAGGAAGGCGGAAAAGGCACAAAAAGGCACCGTGCTGCCCTGCCCGCAGAGGCGCCAACGCGGCGACGCTCCGGCTCCGGCACCGGCTCTGGCTGCGGCATCGGGCGCCTGCCCGCCCGGGCCGGCCGCGGGGCAGCCGAGCCGGGAGGAGGCGAGCGGCGCCGTTCCCCCGGTGCGGACGTGCACCGGGAGCCGCCCCGGGAAGATGCATCCGCACGGCGCCAGCCCCCGCGCTTAAAATAGCCCGAGCGCAGCTCCAGTTTCTGGTGCAAATTAAGCGCGTTTCCGATTCCTGCGCTTAAAGCTGCATTTGCCGGTGGAGAAAAAAAAGAATCCCGGGAGGGATTGCAAGATCCTGGCACATCCGGCGGCCCTTGGAGGTGTTCGGCTCCTGCGACGCTGGAGATGCAGCATTTGCTGGCTGCAAATGAACCCGCTGCACTCGGCACGGGGGTTGGAAGCCTCCGTTGCAGCTAGGCTGACAACTGGGGGTTCCATCAACGTTGCTGGAGCGAGCGAGGCCGGGGGAATCGTGCGTGGGTTTGATTCCTTCTTTCCCCCTGCACGTGCCAGGAGCAGCGTCGCCCCGGAGCGCGTCCCGCGGGCGGGGAGCTAAGGACCCCGGGGAGCGCCGCGCAAGGGGAAACTGCACGATCCTGGGCAGCGATCCGGTGCGGATACCGGAGCAGCCGGAGGCACCGGAGCGCGCRGGGTTGGAAGGGGTGAAGGCCCTAATGAAGAGCGCGTCGAGGGGCGTCCAGCAGGGAACAGCCGCGGCTGGGGCGGGCGGGAGCAGGAGTTGGGGCTCCTCTCCGGCTCCTGTCCCCACAGAGCCCCGATCCCGCAGCGCTGCTTGCGGAGGAGCCCCGCGGAGCCATCGGAAAGGAGAGCAGCTATTAATACCCTGTGCGTAGCAAGGTGGAAAAAAAAAATGTATGAATATATACACAATATATGCAAACAAGTATCATATACGTGTGTGTATATACACTAGCAAGAAAAAAAAAAAAAAAAAAAAAAAAAAAGTAATTCCATAATGAACTCCATAATGGAAGCATCTCCTTGAGAGCAATTCAGGAATATCAGGAACATGATGTTCCCAGGAGCAGAGGCGAGCGCAGCCCCCCTGGCCCTGAGGGTGCCAAGGCCAGTGCCAGGCCAGGGGGAGACAGGGGGTGACCCCGTGGGTCCTGGTGGCACCAACAGGGGCCACACCTGTTCTGGGGGGCCGTGCGGGGCCGGTGCCTCCCCAATCCCGGCCCCTCTCCAGGGGGACACGGGGTGGCCCCAGGGTGGGTGAGGATGGAGACGGGGGATGGGGGAACGGGGCTGGGGACGGGAGAGGAGAAGAGACAATGGGGAGGAGGGGAGGGAGGGGACGGGGGACACGGGACGGGCAGAGCAGCGGGGACAGGG